CCATGCCTCTACCACAGCAGCAGTCAAAATCGTCTCCTACTCAGTTCAATTCCACCGCATCACCTTCGCCCACGACAATCTCAACCAAGCGGCCACCCTCGTCGAGACTCCTGCGTCCAGCCTCCAAGATGGCGGTCGTGAGGATGGTGTTCCTCAGTGTGGGCAAGCCTCTCTTGTCCAGCTGGTCGAGGGTGACTCTGCCCTCGTTCACGGCCGTGACGGCGTCGATGAACTTTTCGAAACTCACGTACCCGTACCCGCTCTGGCCGTTGAAGTTGCCTTCCTCGTCCGGCGCGTACCGCATGTAAAAAGGGTTGTACCACTTCAGGGAACTGCCGGATCGATCGTTCTCGTCGACCACGTCGTACCCGCGCTTCGCCTGGTTGACGTTGATCTCGCCCTTGGATGCGATATAGTGGAAGTGCTGTTGCGAGTGGACCCCGGCGTTCATGGGCGCCGTCCAGCTTGCCGTGTAGATCCCCGTGGCGCGTTTGTCGTCACTTTGACGTGTCCAGTCGACAAGCAACGTGATGGTATCCTCCGTCCCCTTCGCACAACCTACACTTTCGGAGATGCCGAGACTCGCGCTGGCGCGCACATTCGAGGGCCGCCACCCAGCGTCGCGGACCATCCACTCGCAAATATCCACGTGATGGGAGTTGAGGTAGTATGAGATGTCGGACTCCTTGCCGGCCCAGGCCTTGAAGGTCTCGAGCTGCGACTTGGGCTGCGACATGTAGCTGTAGAAGTAGTTGAAGTCGCCCAGATTCTTGGACTTGAACTTGGCATCCGCGTACGCCGGGTCGAAACGCTTGTGGTGCTCGACGTAGACGAAGACCTTGTTCTCCTCCGCCAGCGCGAGGAGATCGAGGTGATGCGACAAGAGCTTGGTCGCCGGTTTGGTCAGCAGGACGTGGTGGCCACGTTCGACCGCGTACTTTGCGATGTCGTAGTGTGTCGAGTCCGGAGTGAAGATGGTGACGGCCGAACCCTTGGGCAGGGCGTCGATGGCTGTCTTGAAGGCTTCCGGGTCGGACTGGTCATCGCGCGGGAACGACTTGAAAGACACGTCGAGGCCGTTGTACGCTTCGGAAATGTTCTTCTGGAGGTGCTCTCGTATTGCTGGGAATTTCCTGCCTGAGACGCCTACCATGGACAGATCTGAGACTTTCCCGCGACGGCGCAGGTCGAAGACTAAATATCGCATTCCGTGGATGAAATCAGTGATCCTCCCGCTGGGTATTGGTTCGTTTCTCCCCCTTTCGATATTTTTTTCCTCATTGATAACTTTGCGGCGAGCAGAGATCTCTCTCTGTCTTGGCCCTTCCCTTTCCCTGGCTCGGATATCGGAACACGCCATCTGAAAAAAACAGAGACAGAAAGAGATCCATAAACTTACGCGTCAATCCAACAACACCCACTTTCTTATCCGACGTGGAAGCTGCCCCTGAGACGAACCCCGTGGTATACTCGCCCGTGCCGACCATTAAGACCGCGGGCGGCGCCATCTCTGATAGCTCCAGCTGCTCCGTAAGAGGCACTGAGACGACTGGAATGTAACAGCCTGCGACACCCAACTTGATGCGTACTTGCTCTAAAGGATCCTATTAGTTGTGGCAAAAAGGTTGAAGATGAACTCTCTCAAACTTCTCGGCCGGGGTTTCTTTTAATAATGGCGATGATAATGTTAATAAGATGGCGCCGATGAATTCAGGAAATCACTAAATAAATCGAACTCTCCTTGCAAAACACTTACAAGTTCCCATGGAGATCCCAAGAGGAAAGAAAGCCGCGAGCTTTGGGCGACGACTCCAATTGCGTGACTGTATGTAACGTTGACGGATAATTTCTTTCCTCCCAATTCATCCCTTCATTCATCCGCCCGGTCCAAGAGGTGGATAATGAGCACCAACCAAAGACCATATCAGTTGAATCGCCGTCAATTGCCATTCTGGACGCGGGCGAGGCGGGGAACGGCGTTTGGTTTACCGACTATTCACGTTCATGCCCAAACACCGCGAAACGGCAATTGAACTCCCGGCATTTGCGCCGACGTCTAGAAACGTCCATCCTGTCAAACTTTGCCAGTACCGGAACCTTACCCCACAGGCCCTTTGAAGAGCCGTTGGAAATTTAGGATAGGAGGTCAAAGGTGAGAAAAGTTCTTGGACTTGAATGATGGATTTGAAGAGAACAAGTGAGACTTATCTTCTGGATAGACTCTGGAAAGGTGCATGTGGTCGTTCGAACTGTGGGCTCTTTCTTGAGATGAGAGTGGTCTGTCCAGCCTCTTTTCCAGCTTGCTAACTATGTACTCCGTCCCCATGGCATCTTGAATGATGTCGGCATCAGTGGAATTGGAGTTTTGCTTGTTGGCTCTGTCCTGGTTTCACGCCCCTGCAATCTGGGATTCACCAGGGGCGTCGGTGGCCGAGATTCGAGATGGCGAGGAGCGGTGGCATGACAAAGACCCACTTGGCTATAAACAGTTGTCTGTGAACAATGCAGACGGATGAATTGTGCGTGCAGCGTTCCCAGCATGACCATAGGAAGTCCTGATGTCGTCCGACCAGACTTACTGCAACGAAATTCGAAGCATGGAAGTTAAACTCCCCGAATTCAGGCGTTCTTAGGCACCGGCTCTATGCGAGCAGCCGTTGCAGTCAAGAGTGAAAGCATATGCATCTTTTTCGGAAGGCATTCTTCGACTACCTCCTTAAATGCCCAGAATCCTCTCTAGATGATTGGTGCCGAATTTATTCATCCAAATAGTATCTGCAACCCGTGGGATGGAGAATGAGATAAAGTATTGCAAGATAGACCGCGCCACTGCGTCCAGCTTAGTTGAGGTTCTGTCGAACAGGTCCACGCGATCCTAAGGTTGAACGTGGGCTCGCGGGACCTCTGCAGGTATCGAGCTACCGCTCCAAGGCTCTGGCATGACACTTTTGTCAACACTCTGTCTGGGTGAGGTTGCTTCTCCGCTGGTGTGATGTGGCATCTGGGTCAAAATGCTCTCAGAATCGGTCCCGACCACGCTCGGTCGTGCATTGGGAGAATTGTTCAGCGGTTCTCGTCGCGGCTTGTTCGAAGTTTCTGTCTTGTCTTCTCCATGGTCTCCCGATGGCAGAAGATCGATTTTCCTCAGTGTTCGACAGGCTTGTGTCCACCGCCGACTTGATCACGAACAAGAATTTGCTCGACAGTTCACTTTCATTTCTTTCGTCCTTCTCAGTAACAATATTCCTTTCCGTGATATTTTATTTGCTTACGAGGGCTGTCGGGCCGTCGACGCCACGTTGTGCCCTGCTACCCGAGCTTCTTTGTAGATATCTGCACAGGGATCTTTAGAGTCGTCTCGGAAGGACTTCTGACGATATATCACCGGTTCGCGGCTCCGCATCATTACGCCAGAAGTAGGGAAGAGGCGAGCACTGTCGCCTTAAGACACCAAATGGTACAGGCTCCTTTACTCACTGACAGCATTCATTGGCGCGTATGCAACCTCCGAGGCCCGAAGTTTCGGCATACTTAACAAACATGCTATCTGGAATCTACCCGATACATCGCTAATACCTTGAACCGGCAAGTTCTGCAAGGGACGCCGTCCCGATCTTGGATGGTGCTCAGCGTCGAGAGACATTGTGCTGCCGCAGATATTCCTTCAGGCCAATCTGAGCATTGCCGACATTGCTTTCCGCAAGCTTGCGGCACGGAGGCCGAGTTCTTGAACTATTATAAGTCTGGATCTTGAGGCGCGAACTCTGGTGGAAGCTCAAAAATTCCAAATGCGGATGGAGTCGTTTCGAGACTGGGGCTCATTAGTATGTTCGGGGCCCCTTCCAAGGCTGGTGGACTCAAATCGGCTGCTGGTTAGATTCCTAGTTCTCTCCGTTTGGTTTCAATGCAACATCTTCATAGGCAATGCCCCCCGTCCTTCCGGGCGCACTTTCGACGCCGCGACGACTGCTAGCGACGGGCTAATTGCACGGCTCATTTCCGTTCCGCACTTCCTCTCTCATTCATGGACCGCCGATTGAGTTACACAAGATTTCATATAGCCGTAGTCGTTCTAGAGCGTTTAGGAGCGTTCTGCTCCAGCCGTCCCGGCTTACCTCATGCACACGAGCGTCACAAACTTGGGCGCTTTTCAGTCCCTTCCCTGAGTCAGACTCGCGAAAGAGACGAACTCTAATACAGACAGATACTCTTGCAGGTAAGCCACAATCATACAGACTGCGGGGTATCGCATCTGGCTGGTAGGTATTCGGCTCGGCGTCAATTCGAAATAAATCGGAGCGGATCTTGCTTGATAATGACGTTCATTTCAGGAATGTGGATTAGCTGAATCTGGTAAGCTACTAAGAAACTTACCTGAGTCTTCCTCATCGAGTTGACACAGTCTACCCCGGAGAATGCTGGGTCCCTTCCCTTCAGCCTTGCGTCGACCTTCGGTCATATAAGCTTTAAACAAGCAAACGGGTCAGTGCTGCCACGCTTCGCTTGATATGCTGTCGGCCAACGGAAAGTTGGGTTTCATTTCCTCATCTCGGCATAACCAGTAAAAAACCTCGGTTATTCTGTGATTGGGCGAATGCTCGAGCCGCCCGTAAGACGCATAATTCGCCCCGTGGCTTATAGTCGTTCTTCCAGTAAACGAGGAAGGTGGTGCCTCTATAGGTGAAGAGTAGGAGATCGAAGCGTATGCTTTAGCCAATGTTGGACCTGAATTCAACACCAACAACCTGGACCTGGCGGCAAATCGACGCCGAAATCGAAAGGCCCACCTGCCACCGCTTTTCGAGAACACTGGTCAGCGTGGTACTTTGCTACACCTGACTCCGGAAGAAATGCTTATGGGAAAAAAAAGCTATGCCTATACTGTTTATCGCACTCTGACAGTCCAAATATATTTCCCTTTTTTATTTTTGATGTTGACTTGGGATGTGCCAAATGTAATAGAAACGACTCTGCTCATGACAAGGAAATCAATCACAAGAATGCCGATCGGTAGACCCCGCATACCTGGCACCGACGCAGAGAGGGCAGAGGTACGGAGAGCCAAAGTCCGTGCGTAAGTGTGTCGTACAGCGTTTCTGATTCTATGGACAAACACCGATACTGACGAGGCAATTTTGTCAAGCAACGTTCAGGCGTTTAGGAAGCGCCAGAAGGAAAAGAAGCTAGCAGAGCAGGCCGTCCAGAGGCAGATCAACGAAGAGGGTCTGGTTCAACCACACGAGGCGCTTCTGCAAAAGCAGCCGACGGTTCCTCTCCTCCCTCACGGCTGTTCACAAACGTGTGAAGCATCCGTGTTTCCTCCAGAAGATCCCGAATTCTGGCTACAAGCCATGCCTTCAGAAATGGTTGCAAGGCTCGCGAGAACGACTTACCACGATGCATTTGTCGACGTTCTCAGGCATAGATTCGTGGCACCGCAAAGAGTCCGCGAGCGCACAATGGATGGGCCTGAACAAGGATTGTCCATGTGCTATCTGACCTGGGTTACGGCAGCAACCCTCGAAATCGGCAGGTCAGAAACCGAAGTCTTGATGGAAGCCCTGCTGGCTGCCTCTCTTGCCAAAGTTGGAAGAGACCAAAATGAACCGGGGATGACAATCCATGGTGCCTATATGCAGACCCGTGCGTTGCAAAGACTGCGGTCCTTGTTGACAAGGTATCAAGAGGGGGACAGGAGTATTTCTCCGACAATGCTGTCTTTAACAGCGCTGACCTGCGCCATGTCAGAGCTGATTACCAACAAGTCCTGGGACAATTTCAATAGCCACCTGTGCGGGGTAGGAGCCTTGATATCCCATGGTGGCGTCGAAGTAAGTTTCGTCTCCTAGTTTGGTCGATGTCTTTAGGGTGCGCATCCAAGTCCTCCAAATATGGCGTTGTACCTTCCGCACAGATATAACCAGCGAGGCTGACCATGTGGCTGCCAAACTGATAGGGATTGAATCATCAGTTGTCTCAAGAGCACTTTTATAGGTACCGGGCAATCCAAACACCTTTCTTGTTCATGAATCGACAAAAAGCGTTCCTCTGCGACCCGGAATGGACCAATTTTCCCTGGAAAAAAGATTTGGAGCTTGCTCGACACCCCTTGCACTCGATGCTTGACATTGCCCTCAAGGCTTTACCGGAGATTGCCAAGCAGGAAATGCCCAAAAGTTGGACAGTTTCTTGCCTCAGAGAGAGGCTTGAAAAGGCCTGCACGATCGTGGCGGAACTGAATGAGTGGGAGCGTCAGCTGCGATTCCAGCATCGTGGCGTCCTATACACCGAGGTCCCCGCGACATGGGAAGGTGTTTACAAGCGACGCCTGGACTTCCCCAATATTTCGATTGCCATCACATTCGCCATGTATGCGGCGGCAAGGATACACGTCGCAACTCTTGTGGCCGATGTCTCAGATGAGATCATCTGGCGCGTGCCAACAGCTGACATACATAGCACCTCAGCTGTCTGGGAGGCATTGCGGTGGGCACGGCTTGCATGCCAGAGCCTCGAATACTTCCGCACCGACCAGCCCAAGGCTGCAGGACGGATTGTAACGTTGTGGCCACTTGAGACCGCCTGGGAACTCTTTGCCAGGGTGGCGGCCGGAGGTTCTGTGGATGTCTCGCAAGAGATTGCGTGGTGTCGGTCTGCAGCTGAACAGCACGCAAATCTCGGTATCCCTCCATTTAAATGGAGATAAGACAGTGGGACGATTGGGTGCTCCAGTCTGTGAGTTGGTGTCTCTCGAAAAGAGTTGGAGCGAGCTGGAATACGGTATCAAGAAGGCCGATTGGCGTGCGAGGCGCAAAACAATCTTCACCGGCAAGAACAAACACTTAGCAATTTCCGGAGCTAGTCCTGTACCCTTTTCCTTCTCTTGACCAAACCCGCCGATGATGCGAGCAAAGCCGGAAGTTCATTCGAGGGAAGATGGGGCTCGGTGCGGAGCTGCAATGTTCCAGACTCATCGAGAAGTACGACGTACTCCATACTAGAAACGGAAACAAAGATCTGTAGTGAGAAGGGGAGATTCCGGAGAAGCTTCCCATAAGTGAAGATGCTCCGATGCCTTCGAATGTCAAAACCGGGTCGACCGACCTGATTGCTCTGCTCAGCCACGGAGGTGGCAATGAGGCTGCGATCCTTGTCACGTGACCCAAGTGACCAAATACCTGTGGCTTGTGCTTGGCTGCTGACATGTGACCAAGTGGCTGGGACAAGCAAGAAAACGGCCACCACCTGCTGAGCTGCTTTGATTGTTGCCTGCAGTTCTCAGCCATTTGAAAATTCAGTTCTAGACATGATATCGAGTACTGGGGCCACGAGCCGCTCTCCTTCAGCAGCCAGTGGTGACGGTATTGGCTGCCAGCTGCGCGACAGAACCTTGACAAGGTCCTCCTCGCCGATCTCCGCTTAATTCCCACTGACGAGTGTGCATCCTCCAATACCCGTGGCGATAAATGACGGAGTCCAAGAAGCTCAAGACCAGAGCCAAGGAGCTTCTGAGGAGCAGTTGGGTGATTGGCGCTTCTTGTCGTCAGAAAAAACACCAGACAGGCCTTGGTACAGGCTTGGAACTCCCAGCGATCCCTCGCCCTTGGGGTTGGCAGAGCCCGAACAAGGGATTAACAGACAGACAGGCAGGCAGGCAAATATATCAGCAGAAACTGGGAAAACGGAATTCTAGATATATACGTGCTTGGTACGAGGTAGTCCGCGCAGAGCCGGGAGACCAGTCGTTTTGTTGGTGCTCTCTACGATTGGGGAATAGTACCAGCGCAGGGATTGAACTAAAAGGCTGATGGCGATCCCTGCGTGTGTCTGACGCCTTTTGCACCTTTTCAGGGGCCTCGAGCTCAACCCCCGGATGTGATGAGAACGAGGAACTCAACCAGACATCATGGATGACACTTCCACAGCCCAGATCGATGTTGAATCTTTCGGGATCCGCTACTCGGGCGCCTCTTCAAACACCAATCGGAGGTGTCTCACCTTCTCAAGTGGCCCAAATCACGACGCTTGTGGTCTCTGCCCAGAATGTGCCTATCTGCACAGCCTCATTCTGGGCAACATCAAGACGCTCCATCCACCACAATCTGGGCCAGTGCTGCAAGTGCCGAGAAACCGCAAACCATGCAGACCATGGCATTCTCTTCAAGGCAGAGTTTTCATCTTTTCTTGTTTGTAATTGGTGATGTTGCCCTGTCACCAACCCGTGGGCGCCTCAACACAACAGTCCAAACACCTGATAAGCCACGCTCTGCCCTTTGATACAAAGCTGTAGTGCGTATACGCGGGCGACTTTGTTGCCTGTCTGCCACTGATTCCACGCCAACCAGCTCTAGGTCTGAGCGGTACAGCTCAGCCGTAGTCGTTCGCAATGAAGGGGCCAAATCCCTCTTCCTCTTCAGCGCCAAAGATCACAGTCGATACATCGGTAAGAGAACTCATAAATACGTGCGAATGTGTCGTGTCTTAGATTCTCTGACCTTTCTGGCCTCAGAATCTAGCAAAGCAGCCTCGGGCAGAGTCATCCACTGCATCGGTAATAACACCAGGTCATAAAAGGGGGCCTAGCATGTCCACACCGCCTCAAACCGCCAGAGACGACGGCTCGTATTTGTCCCCGACTAGTCCCGATCGCAGAGCGCAATATGATGGATCGACTCTCAATTCCAGATCAGGCTCTGTCGTATCGGGAGATACTGCGACGCGATTCCGGTCGAATTCGGGCATATCAGCCACATCTAATACCACACTTTACTCAAAATCTAGCCTCGAGTTTGAGCCCCCGGAAGAAGCCTTGCGAGCGGGTAAGGGAGACGAGAAGGATTTCGATGTCTCGGACAATCCGTTTGCCTTTTCACCAGGTCAACTGAATAAACTCCTCAACCCGAAATCCCTATCCGCCTACAAAGCACTGGGAGGCCTGAGAGGTCTCGAAAGGGGTCTACGGACCAGCATCACAGCTGGGTTGTCGGTGGACGAAACTCGCCTCGAGGGACAAGTATCTTACGAAGAAGCGGTCACTGCTGGATCCGACAAAGAAGGGCTTTCAGCTGTTAACTTGAGCAGGTCACGCTCAAGCGGGAGTGTGAGCCTGCGCGAAGTCAAGGGCCAATTTGAAGATCGGCTACGCGTCTACCGAGACAATCGACTCCCCGAGCGGAAGCCGGATAGTATCCTTGTGCTCATTTGGCGAGCATACAACGATAAAATCCTCATTCTACTGACCATCGCCGCTGTTATCTCTTTGGCCCTGGGAATTTACGAGACTGTTGATGGAGGATCTGGGGTCGACTGGGTCGAAGGTGTTGCAATTTGTGTTGCAATTATTATTGTAGTAACTGTGGGTGCTGCCAATGACTGGCAGAAGGAACGGCAGTTCGTCAAGCTCAACAAACGGGTACGTTCAAATCTCCACATTCACCTTCGTCAGAGCCATTTTTTCTAACACATAAAAACAGAAAGACGATCGAGAAGTCAAGGTTATTCGATCAGGCAAATCCATTCAAATATCGGTGCACGACATCACCGTTGGAGATGTCCTTCACCTCGAGCCTGGCGACGCCGTTCCAGCCGATGGCATCTTCATAGCCGGACATGGCGTCAAATGTGATGAATCATCTGCAACTGGGGAGTCAGATCAGATGAAGAAAACCCCTGGTGAGGAAGTATGGCAACGCATTCAGGATGGAACGGCAACCAACAAACTTGATCCTTTCATCATCAGTGGATCCAAGGTCCTCGAGGGCGTCGGCACCTATCTCGTCACCAACGTCGGCGTAAACAGCTCATACGGCAAAATCTTAATGAGCCTCCAGACCGACAATGAGCCGACTCCTTTGCAGGTGAAACTGAGCAAATTGGCAAATTGGATAGGAGGACTCGGGTCTACTGCTGCAGGACTTCTTTTCATCATCCTCTTGATCAAGTTTCTTGCTCACCTCTCCGGGGATGCTCGACCTGGGGCCGAGAAGGCTCAGGAATTCTTGGACATCCTGATCGTCGCAATTACCGTTATCGTTGTTGCCGTTCCGGAAGGACTTCCCTTGGCTGTTACGTTGGCTTTAGCATTCGCCACTACTAGGATGCTCAAGGAGAACAATCTCGTGCGAGTTCTGCGCGCTTGTGAGACCATGGGCAACGCCACAACCATCTGTTCCGACAAGACCGGTACCCTCACTCAAAATAAAATGACGGTGGTTGCTGGTACAATCGGAACGAAGGAAAAGTTCGCCTCATCACAATCAGCGGAGAGGCCTGATGCAGCCTCATTCGCGACGATTTTCAGCAACCTGAATGACGAGGTCAAGGAGCTTCTCAGACTCTCTATCTCCCTCAATAGTACCGCCTTCGAAGGTGAAGAGAAAGGCGTGCCCACTTTCATCGGCTCCAAGACTGAAGTCGCTTTGCTTACGCTTGCAAAGGAGAATCTTGGCCTTGACAACCTGGCTGCCGAACGATCGAGCTACAAGGTCAAGCAACTCATCCCTTTCGACTCGGCTCGCAAATGTATGGGCATAGTCATCAAGTACGACGGCGTCTACCGGCTTCTCGTCAAGGGAGCTGCAGAGATCATGCTGGCCAAATCCACCAAAACCATCTCGAATTTATACGAGAAACAGTGCGCAGGCATGGATTTCACTCCCGAGGAAAGGGAAACGGTGTCGACAATCATCGACGAGTACGCACGACACTCACTCCGTACAATTGGTATGCTTTACAAGGACTTCTCACTATGGCCACCTGCCGGTGCGAAGACGCTTGAAGAAGATCCCAAGATGGCAGACTTTGACGATATCTTTCATGAAATGACCTGGGTCGGTGTCGTCGGCATCCATGACCCTCTTAGAGAGGGCGTGGTCGAAGCCGTGGCGCAGTGTCAGCAGTCGGGCGTCGTCGTCCGCATGGTCACTGGTGACAATGTCAATACTGCACGTGCGATTGCTAGTGAATGTGGCATCCTCCGCAAGGACGAAGATGGAATTGTCATGGAAGGCCCCAAGTTCCGTCAGCTTTCCAATGAGGATATGGACAGGATCCTGCCAAGTCTTCGTGTTTTGGCTCGTTCTTCACCTGAAGACAAGCGCATCCTTGTCGGTCGTCTCAAGCATCTGGGCGAGACAGTCGCGGTTACTGGTGATGGTACTAACGACGGTCCTGCCCTGAAGATGGCGGACGTAGGATTCAGTATGGGCATCGCAGGCACCGAAGTCGCAAAAGAGGCCTCATCCATCATCCTGCTCGATGACAACTTCTCCTCGACCATCACCGCCTTGATGTGGGGTCGAGCCGTCAACGACGCGGTGAAGAAGTTCTTGCAGTTCCAAATCACCGTCAACATCACAGCCGTGATACTTACATTTGTGTCTGCTGTCTCTAATGATTCGAACCACTCCGTTCTCACTGCTGTTCAGCTCCTCTGGGTCAACCTCATCATGGACACCCTCGCTGCTCTGGCCCTCGCGACCGACCCGCCGACAAAGAAGATACTGGATCGCCCACCACAGCCTAAATCTGAGGCTCTCATTACTATCAACATGTGGAAAATGATTATTGGACAAGCCATCTATCAGCTGATTGTCACCTTCGTCCTTTACTTTGCTGGCATGTCAATCTTGAGCTACGAACCAAATCAGCGGAAAGAACTTGATACCATCGTCTTCAACACGTTCGTCTGGATGCAAATTTTCAATG